TTCCAGTAGACGTTCTATGAATAAATAGAGAAGAATCATACTGACTCTGAGTAAAGGAGAACCCAAGTAGAGTGGAGCGGAATTTTTCATACCATGCTCTAGGTGCTTGTTTCAAACCGTATAAGGAGCGTTTAAGCTTGCACACACCCTTAGATGATGAAAATAAACCTTGAGGAGGAGTCATATAAATGTCTTCCGCGAGGTCACCATGAAGAAAAGCATTTTTCACATCTAATTGATAAAGAGCCCACCCGTTAGAAGCAGCTATAGAGAGTACCGTACGAACGGATGTCATTTTAGCAACCGGTGCAAATGTCTCATCATAATCAATTCCATATTCCTGCTTGTTTCCTAAGGCAACCAAGCGAGCCTTGAAACGGTTGAGGGACCCATCCGAATTCAATTTCACAGAATACACCCATTTGCAGCCAATGGGTTTGACATCTGGAGGACAAGAGACAATATCCCATGTGAAATTCTCTTGAAGAGCTTGAAGTTCCTCATTCATTGCTTTTATCCAACGTACATCTTTAACAGCCTGTGAATAACAAGTAGGAATAGATATGCCAGAGAGGGTGGCAGTCAGAGAAGTATGTGCTGAATCATACCTGTCTGGTGAATATCTGTCTGGTGCTCGAGATATTCGAACAGAACGTCGTGGTTCAACCGTTACAGGATCAGGTGGCGGTTCAGCGTCGGGAAGGGGTGTGGGAACCTGCTGTTTGTGTTTTCTGACATATACATGACCTGGTTTATAACGCTCTATAGATTGAGGCATAATAGAGAACTTAGGAAGAGTAACAATATCATTCATGACAGGAGAAACGCATGGAAACATAAACTGATTATCAAAAAATGTCACATTCCTAGAAATGCGAAAACGATGGTTAGTGACATCATAACACACAAATCCCTTATGTGAGTGACTATACCCCATAAACGCACATTGAACAGACTGTGCTCCAAGCTTATGTCTTTCAAATGGAGGTAAGTGCACAAAACAAACACATCCAAAAATATGTAAATCATTATAACTAGGCTGAATTTTAAAAAGGCGAAAGAAGGGAGAATCAAAATCAATAACCGTAGAAGGAAGACGATTGATCAAGAATACGGCTGTGGAAAGAGCCTCAACCCAAAATCGGGATGGCACAGAAGCTTGAAGAAGTAATGTGCGTGTTACATCAAGCAAATGACGATTCTTTCGCTCTGCCATCCCGTTTTGTTGAGGGGTATTGGGACAAGACCGTTGAGACAAGATCCCTTTTTGTTGAAGGTATTCCTGAAATGCATGAGACATATACTCACCTCCCGAGTCAGATCGAAAAATTTTAACACTTGCTTGAAATTGATTTTCAACATATGTCAAAAACTTCTGAAACATAGAAAACACTTCAGACTTAGATCTAAGAAAATATATCCAAGTAAAGCGGCTGTAATCATCAATAAATGTGACAAAATATTTATAGTGAGCATGAGATGTTGCAGGAGACATTCCCCACACATCACTATGAATCATCTCAAAACAATTAGAAGCACGATGAGCGCTTGACGGAAAAGGGAGGATTTTACTTTTAGCCAATTTGCAAACAGAACATGAAATAGGAGTAGTACACGCATGTTTATTTCCCAACAAACCAGTTTTAAATAAATGAGACAAAACAACAGAATTTGGATGGCCTAATTTTCTATGCCAATCCTCATAAGAGTTCAAAACAGTATTACATGCAAAGGATAAATGACTAGAACTAAACTGGAGTGGAAACAATCTTCCCACTTTAGGCCCCTTCGCGATCACCTTTCCCGACACCTGCTCCTGCACAAGACAACCAACACGAGAAAAACTAACATTACAATTGTTATCCACCAATTGACCAACCGACAATAAGTTGGAAGCAAGTCCGGGTGATACAAGCACGTCACGAAAGTTTGAGTCTATGTCACCAACATCAGTGATAGAAAGTTTATTACCATCAGCAATTTGAATTTGCTGATTACCATTATAGGAATGTACATTTTGTAAGTATTTAGAGGAACCCGTCATGTGATTGGATGCACCAGAATCAAGAAACCATGATTGAGAATTATTAGAAGACTTACCCTGAATTCCCAAGGCTGAAAGAGCAGAAAGTACCATTTGGTGAATCATTTCAGGTTGTAGAACACTACCGGTACCCGTACTGAGAGGACCAACTTCAGAGTTGGTAGTGGCATGGAATGCTTGAGTTGGACGTTGTACTGGTCGGGGAGGACGTGTGGGACAGTCAGAGATGATATGACCCTGTTGTTTGCAATAGTTGCAAAACTTCTTACTGCAATTGCGAGCTACATGTCCAAATTGTTTGCAAGAAAAACATTGAACTTGTCGCATATCACGACCCTTTCCTCTACTTTGAGCAGCATATGCAATTGCCACAGGTTCGGAACTAACAGCATCATGAGACATGGTTCCTTGCGTAAGTAGACGTTGTTCCTCCCTTAGAAGTTCACCGACACAAGTATCCAAAGAAGGAACAGGATTCCTATTGAGCAAAGCGCCTCTAACAATCTCGAATTCTGGACGAAGTTTCATGAGAAATTGATCTCGCCGACTTGTGTCGTAGACCTCTTGAACAGCAGTGAGAGAGGTTTTGGGAACATTAGCATGTATAATAGCAGAGTGTTCTGTCCAGAGATTCAGAAAACCAGAATAGTATTCTTGAATAGGTAGGTCACCTTGTTTGTAGTTGGCTATGTCTAGCTCCAATTGAAAACGTTTTGCCGAATTGTCCTGGTTGTAAATGCGCTTCAGATAATTCCATATTTCTTGAGCAGTTGAAAAGGAGCGCAAATTATTTATCATCTGAGGATCAATACTATTGAGAATCCAAGTGATGATTTGAGCATCTTGAGTTTCCCATACATCTGAAGCAGTTTTATCCGTCGGGGCCTTAGAAACACCATCTAAGTGACTCCATAATCCCTTTCCTCTAACATACATCTTGAATTGAAATTCCCAAGCCGAATAATTCTTGCCGGTGAAACGAACACAGAAGTTATCTCTTTCTTTTTCGGAAGCCATTGAAATTATGTTGTAATTAGATGATGTATTACTATAATAATAATAATTATTATAATACTTATTATTATTATAATAACAACCTGCAACCAAAAGGAACAAAGCTCGTGCAGTACCACCAATATATCCCAAGAACAGTACCACTCGTGAAGCCGTAACAATTCCAATGTTTCAATTTGGAATTAGCGGCGGAACCAAATTATAACCACAAACCACAAACCAAATTAAAACAAAATTATAACCACGAAAAACAAACCGGTCACGACCTAGAATCAATATTCGTGAAAGGAGGATCGCAAACAACCGAAGTAAGCCGAAGCCCTAAACCCAGAATCACGATGGCAATCGACGCTAAACGAATTCCACGGGGAACGATCAAGAAGCAGAAACGAAGAAACAACAAACTGAATTGATCAGGGTGTTGTCACAGAACCAAGAGAGAGAAAAATCAGAACCAAGAAATCACAGGTTTGATCTACGAGGTTGATACCATGTCAAGAATTCTTGGCTTCATCCTTTTCTCATTATTATTTCTCGTATATATAGAGGTTACAGGGCTATATTGGTAATTACACTAAATAATTACATTTTAATGAGAACAAGTCAATTTCTAATTTGTTTCCTTTATTCTAGAAACAAACCCTTATTCTAGGAACAAACCCTTATTCACACTGTCTATGGGATGGAGAACCCCCAGTTATCCCCTATTCACATATTTTTATATACCAAAAAAAAACTGTAGACTATTTAGACCCACGTTAATGTGAAGAGTGAAGTGGAAGCTGGCAAGGGAGAGCCTAAATTGTCAACTCCACCATTGATCATGTATCGGTGCATTTATGTGGATCGATCAAGCGTAAAGTTATCATTCAGAAAAAAATTGTGTGAAGGAAAAACTTTAGAGAGGAAAGAAGTGCAAGGAGGAGGACAGATGTACAACAAATGAGCGTAAGAAAACAAACAGGACTATAAAACAATAAGGTTACCCAATTCTCTGCAACATTCTGATACCATTAAAAAATCGAAAGCAATAAGCATTGTATGAATCTAGAGAGAAAATGAGGGAAAATATTTCTTCATATTGAATTGAAATCTGTGGCAACCAGAGTAGTAATTCCCTGATAGTGGCACGGAGCGGCCAACCCCGAAAGCGGGATAGCGGGACAGCGTATAGCGGGATGACCGCTCTATTTGATCATTTTTTGGATAAATTACATATAATAATTATAGACATATACTTAATGTAAAATTAAACAAATAACTCAACTCATAAAATATTCATAAATCAAAGCACACATGATGACTCTTGAAGTACATAAACGATTATGAAGGAAGGTTAAGGTTGTGTCTCAACTCAAATTTGATTGAAAAAACCTAAATTATCCTTAAAACATTGTAAGTTTAAGGGGTAATTTCGGTTTTTTAGATGGGAAAAGGATAGCAGGCTAGAAGCCAGAAACCGCACTGGGGCAGAAACCACTATGCTCCGCTATCCCACTATTTACCTTATAGCGGCCGCTAGTGTTCTGCACCGCTAAGGCACTTCCCATAATGGTCGGCCTCCGCTCTGCTATAGCAGGATAGCGCCACTATTAGCCGCAATTGATTATTCTGGATGCAACTAAACTCTAGCTTTGAGAATCTAGAGAGCAAGTATTTATGTCTAGCTTAGGAGCTGCTGCTGACTCAGCAGAGTCAGTTACAGTAGTGCTGACTTAGTGAAGTCAGTTACATAGTTAAAGCCTTGTTTGGTCAGGATAGAAGTGCATTATTACTAGATACTCTAAGCTGATAATAATAAAAAAATGGTATTTAAAATTTCAACCCATTCTTCTTCACTTGGAAATACTATAATCCACAATGACTAAGTACGAATGCAGCCTGGTTATCTTAGAATACCATAAACTTAAAGACTAGATGCAAGAAACCAACCAAAATGTACCTGCAGTCCATGATGAGTGTACATCATTGATGTGACGCCGTCAAATCGAAACCCATCAAACTTATATTCATCCAACCACCATCTTGCATTTGAAAGTAGGTACCTTAGTACCTAATTAAGAAAATAAGCCACTATCAACCAGAAGGGTACAGAAGAATCATGATTAAAAAAATTAAGAATAATGTCAAAAACCTCTAGGAATAGGACTTACTTCCCAGCTTCCATAGTTAAAAAGGCGAGAATCCCACATCCAATGATAACCCCGTGAACCAGGATGGAAGTAATGAGCATCAGTTCCATCAAACATGTTCAGGCCATCCAATGTATTATTTGAGGCATGGCTACATTAATCAGATACTGGTAATCAGGTCTAAGCAGCAGATTAAATACCATCAATAAGATTTTGCATGTACTATCATTTATGCACTGATGGCTGATGATTCAGTTGAAAAATGAGAACTAGAGATGTTTTACAAATAGGGCTCCAATTGTGAAGACTTATTCTAGGAGGAAGCCCACAAATTTATATGGACCTGGGGTAAAACTTGTAGTAAAATTACAAATTAGGGATGAAGGGAAAGTAGGAAACATTCGGTTTTCTGTATCTTGGTTGGGAGAGACTAGGCTCTCTAACTCCTAGGGTGTTCCTTGTGGTTACCATTTTAGTTTCTACTCTAATTATTGTATTTTCTATTTCCCTGAAACTACTTTGTTGGATGAGCATTCCCATAGATTGATTAAATAAAGCAGAAGTATTATTCAGTATTGTAAAATATTTCACTGATAGAATTAAAAGTTCTCTTTACAATGTTGCAACTACATGCTTTAAATAAGAGAGAATAGAAAACCTAATGGGTTTGACTAATGGGCCTCATTACTAATACTACTAATTACTATTTACAGTCTAATATTTACAACACTCCCCCTCAAGCTGGTGAATGGATATCTATCATTCCCAGCTTGCAAGTAAGTTGTTTGAATCTTTCTGTTGGTAAGCCTTTTGTTAACACATCTGCGAGCTGATGCCCAGAAGGAACGTAAGATGTAGTTATCAGCCCACTATCCAACTTCTCTTTGATAAAATGTCGGTCAATCTCAATGTGTTTAGTCCTGTCATGCTGAACAGGATTATGAGCAATACTAATAGCCGATTTATTGTCACAAAACAATTTCATAGGGCCTTCACACTGTATCTTCAAGTCTTCTAGAACTTGTTTCATCCACAATAGTTCACAAATTCCTAGTGCCATAGCTCTAAATTCTGCCTCGGCGCTTGATCGAGCAACTACACTTTGCTTCTTACTCTTCCAAGCTACAAGGTTACCACACAGAAAAGTACAATAGCCTGACGTAGATCTTCTATCACTCACTGAGCCGGCATAATCCGCATCAGTGTAAGTCTTCATAGCTAAATTCTCACCTCTTTTAAACAAAAGTCCTCTCCCTGGAGTTGCTTTAAGATATTGTAGGACGCGGTCTACAGCCTGCAAATGTCTCACCCTCGGATCATGCATGAATTGGCTCACCACACTGACTGCATATGCTAAATCTGGTCTAGTGTGTGCCAAGTAAATCAATTTTCCCACTAATCTCTGATATTGACCCTTGTCAACTTTGTCACTTTCCTCCTCAAAGCTTATCCTGTGATTTTGTTCAATGGGAACACTTGCAGGTTTGCATCCAAGTTTGCCAGTTTCCAGCAAAAGATCAAGAACATACTTCCTTTGAGAGATAAAGATGCCTTGCTTTGAGTAGGCTACCTCAATTCCCAAGAAATACTTGAGTTGTCCAAGGTCTTTCATCTCAAACTCTGCCGATAATTTCTCTTTGAGCAAATGTCTCTCAGTCAAATCATCTCCTGTAACAATAATATCATCAACATAAACAAGTACAGTCAATTTTCCTTCCTGTGAATGTTTAAAAAATAAAGTGTGGTCTCCTTGACTTTGCTTATAGCCCAAACACACCATTGCCTTTGTGAATCTTCCAAACCATGCCCGAGGGGACTGCTTTAGTCCATATAAGGCTTTCTTCAATTTACACACCTTGTTAGCTTCATTTTTTATGCCAACACCCGGTGGAATCTCCATATACACTTCTTCCTCTAAGTCTCCATGCAAGAATGCATTTTTAACATCAAACTGTTGCAATTCCCATCCACATGAAGCAGCAAGAGATAGTAAAATTCGAACAGTGTTCATTTTTGCCACTGGGGCAAATGTCTCCTCATAATCAATACCATATGTCTGAGTATAACCTTTTGCCACTAGTCTTGCCTTGTACCGATCAAGTGTGCCATCAGATTTATACTTTACGGTATAGATCCATCTGCATCCAACCGGCTTTTTGTCTCTTTGCCTTTCAATAATCTCCCAAGTACCATTTTTTTCAAGTGCTCTCATTTCCTCATCCATAGCTTGGACCCAATTTCTATTTTGCAATGCTTCTTCCACTGATAATGGGATTTTCACAGAATCAACAGCTGCAATAAAACTTTGATATTGTGTGGAAAGATGTTTAGTGGAGACATATTGAGAGATAGGGTGTCGATATAAGGAGGGACAAGATCTTTTATCCTTCCTCAAAGCAATGGGTAAATCAACTGGATTAGTGTCACAAGTATCAGAAATAGAACAATCATCATTTGAGGAATCATTTTCAGTACTTACCTCCGGTTCAGACGATTGAATTTGTTTCTGGAGAAGGTCAGATTTACTTCTTCTCTGATATACTAGAGTTGGTGCTGAAGGTGCTGATTCCTGTGGAACATAAGGCATTGAAGGACCAGGAACAATTACTGACTCAGATTCAGGTGTTGAACTAGGACTCAAACTCAAACTAGGTGACAACTCGGGTTCAAGAGAGGGAACACTGACAGGTGTTCTCGGGAGGCTAGGACCAAGGATCAGAAACTCGGACTCAGACTCTAAGTCACTCATGTTCTCCCCCTGAGACTGAGAATGAGTGAAGTATGACACATTTTCATGAAAGGTGACATCTTTGGAGACAAAGAATTTCCGACTCGGAGGATGATAACATTTGTACCCTCTTTTATTGGGTGCATAACCCAGAAAGATACATCTGACAGCACGGGGATCCAACTTGTTGCGATATTGTTTGTGAACATGAACAAAAGCAACACAACCAAACACGCGAGACTCAAGATTATGTAAGATAGGAACAGAGGGAAAACGTGAGAGCATAAATTGAGCAGGACTAATATTACCTAACACTCGAGATGGGACCCGATTAATCAGATAGGCAGCAGTAAGAACTGCCTCCCCCCAATAAGAGGTGGGAACAGACATTTGAAACAGGAGAGATCGAGCAACTTCAAGTAAATGACGGTTTTTTCTTTCTGCGACACCGTTTTGTTGTGGGGTGTCAACACATGTGAATTCATGAAGAATGCCATGTTTACTAGTGAAGTTGGAGAAGGTATGATTGACATATTCTTTACCATTGTCAGAACGAACTCTTTTTATACATTTCCCAAATTGTGTTTGTACCATATTATAAAATTGGATAAATATTTGTGGTACTTCGGATTTAGTATTCATCAAGAAAATCCAAGTTACCCGAGTACAATCATCAATAAATGAAACAAACCATTTTGCACCAAAAATATTAGAGGTAGGGGCAGGTCCCCAAACATCAGAATGAATCACATCAAAAGGTTCAGCACTTTTATTAAAACTGGAAGGAAAAGTTACACGATTGTGTTTTGCCAACTGACAAACATCACACTTAAAAGACTCAACAGAATGGTTTAAAAACAATGACGGAAACATAGACTTAATGATATAAAATGGAGGGTGACCGAGACGCTTGTGCTGAAGCCAAATGTGTGAGGCTGAAGAGGAAGACTGAGACTGGAGACAGGAGGACAACACCGTTGGATGGTCATCAGAGAAGTAGTATAACCCTTCCTTTTCCTTAGCAATTCCAATCGTCTTCCCCGTGGTAAGGTCCTGAAAAATACAATGGGTCATAAAAAACGTTACTTTACAATTTAGATCACGGGTAAGCTTATGGATGGAAATCAAATTGTGGGAAAGTGTGGGAACATGAAGCACGGATTGCAATTGAAATGGAGGTTGCAAGTCAATATTTCCAGTGCCAACAACACAAGCCTGAGAGCCATCAGCAACAGTGATATAAGGAATACTCGAAGGTGTGGTATAAGAGCATAATAATGTGGAATCAAATGTCATATGATTAGTAGCACCAGAGTCAAGAATCCACGCATTCTTAGGGATATTACCACAAACAGTAAAAGATCGGGAACACAAACTCTTACCGGTAACTGCTAGAGACCCAGAACCAGAAGGCTTACTCATGGAGTCAAGCATAGACTTCAACCGTTCCACGTCATTCTGGCTGAAGGAGGAAAGATCAGTTCCCTCTTTTTCAGATCTGTCAGTATCATGGGCATGTGTGACAACATGTGCCTGATGCTGGTGCATGTTGCGAGAACTACCTCCTCGGCTAAGAACCTGTTCCCTTCCATGTAGTTTGAAACACCTATCCTTTGTATGCCCTGATCGGTTGCAATGCTCACAATAGAATTTGTCACGACCATTCTTAGATGATGACGATGGTGGTCCTTGTCTTGTTGTTTTTCTAGCTACTAGTGCTGACACATCCGGGGGCTGTTCATGAAGCATAGTTTGACGACGGGTCTCCTCACTACGAACAGTGTAAAAAACTTCATTAAGATCAGGAAATTTTTCCTTACCCAAAATCTGCACCCGAATGGGGTCAAATTCAGCATTAAGGCCGGCTAAGAAATCAAAGATCCTATCCCGCTCAACAACAGTATTCAAGGTGGCAGTATCCTTGCTGCACTCCATCTTCAAATTCTGATATTGATCCAACTCAATCCAAAAACCATTGAGAACTCCAAAGTAATCGTTGACCGAAAGACTTCCTTGCTTAGTGTTGAATATTTTCCTCTTTAAATCATAACAAGCAGACATATCTTGTTTCATGGAATAACTTCGACGAAGATAATCCCAAACTGCCTTTGCACTTGAGAGATACATGCAATTTCTACTAATTTCTGGAGATATGGAGTTCCAAAGCCAAGTAATAATAGCAGAATCATCTTTATCCCAGGAAGAGAAATTAGGAGCAGTAACCAGAAGAGGATTGCCTTCAATATGATCTAGCATGTCACAACATTTTAGAGTGTGTCTGATGAACTGAGACCATTGAAAATAATTTTTTCCGGTAAGCCAGTAACCTTTTTGAACGACAAAATCCTTAGCATTAAATGGGACTGGTGGATTTGTGGGAGGTGGAGGCGGAGGTGGTTGCTGGTTAATAATCTCGGCCATTGAAGGGACAATCGAGAGGAACAAACAGCAGATATGTATTGAATCACAAAGAAAAAATACAAGGAAACCAAAAAACAAGCAGTAGGGTTGCAATAGAACTGCAATAGAATGAAAAAACAGCAATGATCCAAACACCCAAAAAAAAAAAACTGCAAGGATGACCGGCAGTGAAAAAAAGAAAAAAAACACCGTTACAACGGCGGCTAGGGTTTATGCGGAAGCGAGACCCCTAAAAAACAGGAGCTGAGATACCATATTGTAAAATATTTCACTGATAGAATTAAAAGTTCTCTTTACAATGTTGCAACTACATGCTTTAAATAAGAGAGAATAGAAAACCTAATGGGTTTGACTAATGGGCCTCATTACTAATACTACTAATTACTATTTACAGTCTAATATTTACAACATTCAGTAACTATATTGATTTTAGACTAGTTTCTATTGATTGGTGTCAGATGGTTGTCAGTGGCTTGGAAAGGGCTACCTACAGAGGGACTGACAGGAAAGGTTGAGTAAAGTATTGTAGACTACTTCTCCCAAGAGGTAGACTCTCAGGGCCGGTGCTATGATAGGGACTTTGATATTTTTAGGTCCCTAGTCCCACATCAAGTAGTATGAGATGTTTAGGTGCTTGGTCTTCCACCTTGATAGCTAGCTTTTATAGGAGGGTTCTTCAAGTTCTTAATACTTATCAAGATATTTCCAGAAAAATGAAAAGAATATTTTCCGTGTAAGGTATAAACATTACCTATGTACAATATCCATCAGAACAAGGAGGCCTAGTTCATGGGCTCTGTCTATCAGAGACTTAAGATCTTCTGGAGTTCCAAACCGACTGCTGGGTGCAAAGAAATTAGTAACATGGTACCTGTGTCATGCACAACAATCTTTTTAAAGTCAGGCCATCAATTTTAGGGGGGAGACACTAATGCACTAAGAAACAAGAAATTTAGAACATAAATGTCCTTTTCTTTAAATAACATTGGAACTGTCGGCATTTTGGGAGGGGGAGATTTTTATGATTAACGATAACACTGGACAGGCATTCTAGAAGAATTACCCAAAACTAGCATAATAAGAATGTTCTTGGATAGCCATAATCTGGACAGCATTATAGCCAAGCTTTTTAATGCGAGGTAGTACATCATCTCTAAAATTAGCATACGTGTTGATTTTTGGCTCCTGCACCACATGGTTCAAAGCATTATTAGTAATAGAAAAAACAATAGCTCTGAATAGACATTTCATTGAACATAATAGATTAACTCTGTTATTACGCAAAATATTCTGTATTTAAATCTGAAAGACACCGATTGTATTAATGAGACCAATGTCTTCATTGCAAGGAAATAATTCAATGAAGAATTTTTTTTTACAAAAATCTAAAGCTTTGTTGCATGTAACAAACGCCTTTCACTTAGCAATTAGTGGAAGAGTGAAGAATCAATTTAACTAGCCTTACTTTTGTGAACCGTAAGATGGTTTCACTTCATGGCAACGATAAACGATACAATTTCAAAACAAGTAACTATTTGCAGTTTGACATTTCTAAATACTTTTAATTTGAGAATCACTAAATAAGAATGGAATCCTTTGAATGTCATTAGGTCAGCTAAGTCACACTTGCCCAAGGATATAAAACTTAATTTTGGGTGGTGTCTATCTACTTAGCAGTGCAAGTCAATTCGATTCCATTTGTAGGCAATCGGGAATAAAGATTTTTGTAAGGAAATCATTATGTTGCTTTCTTGCAAGTTTAATATTGTCGCTTCTAAGGAAGTGAAAGGGATGAGGGGAGATGTTTCAAGTATGATATTTTCTCCTGAGCAGTGTTTCCCCATCAATAAATTTGATAGTAATGATTCTGTATGGAAGCTTCCGGGACAGAAGAACGTGTCCCATAAGGTGAGAGAGTACGTCAAATGTCAAACAATGGGGTTATACCCACGGTCAGCTAAGGGCATAGTACTTCCATGAACCATGAAGTTGCTTGGGTTAGCAAAATAAAAAGTTTTAGTCTTTGACATTCTGCCATTGATGATAAACAATAACCATCGTTTCGGATGTAATAGATCATGGAATTCCCAATAAAGCAACCAAGAAAGGGAAAAGAAAATAATCACTTATTGACATCAAATTAGAGAAAGCAAAAAAGTACGCACCGGGCTACTCATTCCAATGTGTGACTCATATATTCTAATTGATTGTGGTCGTTTTGGCTGTGGATGTTTGAAGACATATTTTTCCTGTGAAAAGAGAAATATATAAACCACAATAATAGTGCATGACAGAAAAATCAAATGAAATGTAAAAGTTAACAATTAAGTAACTGACGCGTATTATAATTTAATTGAATAGCACCTAAGGTCTGTTCTCTGTAGTTGTCAAGATAGCCGGTAACTTTATCAATAAATAATTACATTAATTTAATATACAGATATCTTAACAGAACTACTTTCATAATGTTCTGCAATCCGGCAGTTGCAAAACGTAGTTATAAAAATGTTGCAGCTTTGTCTAGTTTTTTTAGTTGTCAATCATAGTTAAGGAACATGCAGAGATTATATACATATTTTCTTTGACGGGGGCGATAAACAAATCCTTGCAATATAAAAATTTAATGGAAAAAAGGTCAGAGTGATAGACTTCTGAAAATACTATATAGTAATCAACCACATTGTATGCCATTTATATAAAAGTTCCCTTGAAACCACCATAAATAGATAACCAGAGAAATGTCAAAATAACAATTCTATCCCATGACATATGTAAGGGAGAAAGAGATAGTTAGAATTGGTAATCTTTTTTCCATGCTTAACCTCCATGGAAGAAATGTAGAATCTTACCTCCTCTGGAGGATCATAGTATATTCCGTTGTATGGAATTTCACCAGGAGCCTGTACAGAGAATTTGATCCAAGCAGGAATCGAGTCCTTGATCCCAGAGGGAGTATCCATGTGGATCTGCAAATATATATATTTACAAAATCTTTAGTTTACATTTCAGAAATATATTCATAGGCTTAGTTGAAGACATCAAAAGATGTTTAACACACTTGGTCCTGGAAAAATTGTTGTCCTTATTTTCTTTTGTAGGATAAAAACATAATTAGAGTAAGAAATTTACAAACTACATCAGGCAAGAATAAGATATGTCCTAGTAATAAAAGAAATGTTTTACACTTAAAAACCAAAGATGAAGAGAAAGATAGATCAACTAGCCTAGCTTGCCAATTTTCTTCAAAACTAGTATGGTTTGCAAGAAAGTATGGTCATTTCAAAATAACAACCATATTAAAATTTCTGTTTTGAACACTCCTATTTGCATTCTAGAATATTTTGTTTGGTGAATTCTTGTACCAATACAAATGAGAATACCATAACAATTGCATAAATGATACCATTTTGTCATTTATACACTAAAATGACCCATGTAGAGTTTTAAAATATAGATTTCTCTTTTGATTTAAGTTGTTTCCAGAAAATTTGAAACATCATTTTTAATGAACTTGAATGATTGGGCTCTCCCCTCCAGAGGGGGTGCTGAGCTTCCTATGCACAATTCCTAAAAAGATACACATCTTTAAAATTTATCCATAAAAAATTACAAAGAATTATGGAACATAGAGATAGATGGTTTCAGAAGACAATCTTTATCTAACCATTTCCCAAATAATATATCTATTCCTTTTCTTGTTTGTGTTATAACATCATTCTTCTTGACAAGGCCGGTGAAGAGGCTGTGCAAGCAGTGCTCTTGCACAGGGACTCCATTTTAACGGGGCCTATATTTTAGGGTTATTTATTATTTATTTTAAAAAAACTAAGGAATAGAGTAATGAAAATAAATAAATGGACATTATTAATAAACTAAAATAACATTAATTATATCTTTGACATTAAGAAATAATAACAACTTAAATATTATTAAATAAATAAATTTTGTTACCTAATGAAGAAATGTTGTAATATTTTTAAAATTTCTTTTGATATCAACGAGTTATGAAATACTTTTCTAGTTTTAAATTATACCACCTTTTTTTTTTCAAAAAATTATACCACATTTTTATTATATGATATAAGTTAAAATTATAATCGATTTTATATAAAAAATGAAATTATAAAATTATTTATCAAATTATATTTTATTTAAAAATTAAAAAAGAGGGAATGATAGTTAGATTTTTGTGTTATTTATAATTTAAATAAATGATCATTTTAAAAATAATTTTTATATTTTTTTTACTACAAACGTAATTTTCTTAGAACATAACCTCCAAATTATTAAAGACAGCCCTGCTTCTTGATAAATGCAAGAAATTTCATATTCTTTCTCATAGTAATTCTTAATAAAAAGTAAAAATATAAAGAAAAGTTATGTGGAACCAGGTCATATATTTGGAAAAATCTTCATAATTTGTACTGTAATACAATTCATTATCAAACAAAAGAAACTCAAAATACCAACTATAAAGGAAATAAAAAGGAAGATTATAACTTAGTGTAGTAAACTGGTGGAATTTGAAAAAATTGTTGTTTTTTGCAATCCAAAATCGACAACACTGCTATAACCAATGACTATATGGACATACATGTAGATCTTCAAACTCCCCAAAAGAAATTATTTTTAGGAGGAAGATTACCTTGACTCGAGAACCATGAGGAATTGGTGGTGAACCATCGGCATTGTTTGGCAAGAAGATCTCCCATACACCGAAAGCGTCCTGTTTGACAAAACAAGAACATTTTAAAAATACCAAAATCAATACAATTGTCAACTAAATCTAAGTAAGGATGTCCAATATCCAGGATTAGGCATCTGTCAGATTTATAACAATCACATCTGTCCATCGATATGAATTCTCTTAGAATTTGGATTGGCTTGAAAGAATCACATTTACATTCAACAAGTTTTAAAATAGACATCAGAATGGTTTTATTTTCACTGTCCTCTGTGAATCATAGATCTCAAACAAATACAGATTCTAGGTCATAATAAATGAAGTACATTTATGCAATTCAATTTTACACAAAGAATGAGTAGGAACATAATAAGGGGCAAAGGACATGAGGTTCTGGGTCAAAGTCAAATAGATGGCGAAAAATGAGGAAGATGAAAGCAAAAGACTTTTTAATGAACACATTTAAACTTCAAAGAGAAATTTAGAATCACATACCTTAGTCATTACATCTGCATTTGGATTCCAATTGTTGAAATCTCCAACTAATGCTGCTGACTGAAGAAGCAATCAATAATATCCATAATGGTTGCAGAGGAAACAAATTCAGTTATACTGTGATTGATTAAATGAATTGTTTTGAAGTTTAAAGACAAGTTACAAACATGAATACACGATATTCAAAACCTATTGTCTCACAGCTTTGTTTGAAAATATATAATGATAGAAATGCAAAAGGAAGAGGTAAAGACAACTGCTTACAAAATACTCTTAATGAGCCCTTCAAATACTCTTAAATGCATTTTATAGCCCTGCACTTCAATTTTTTGAATTCATACACCAATCACCAATACATATGGTGAAATGAGAATAGGACAAACAGGTATTATACAGCTCCCACCATAGCAGTTGGGGTCCAAGGCATGGTCAGATCTGTTGCAAATCTATTTTAGGAAGCCATACCTTGCATTTCAAGAGATTGATTTCACAACTCAAACCTATGACCTTCTAGTAATATGGTATTAACTGCAAAGTCCAGGCACCCCTTCTACACCAAATGAGCCCTTCAAATACTCTTAAATGCATTTTATAGCCTTGCACTTCAATTTTTTGAATTCATACACCAATCACCAATACATATGGTGAAATGAGAATAGGACAAACAGGTATTATACAGCTCCTACCATAGCAGTTGGGGTCCAAGGCATGGTCAGCTCTGTTGCAAGTCTATTTTAGGAAGCCATGCCTTGCATTTCAAGAGATTGATTTCACAACTCAAACCTATGACCTTCCAGTAATATGGTATTAACTGCAAAGTCCAGGCACCCCTTCTACTGATAAAAGGGAATACCAAGATAATTAGATAATAAATTATAGGAATTTATTATGTCTTTAATGACCCATTCATTCTCTCTTTTGATTTGGGATTTGCCTTTATGTTATTTTTATGGTATCTTTAGGTATCGACATGTTATATTATCATGCCTATAATTTTAAAATCTAGTATATCCCCATATCCTGTGTTGTATCCATGCTTTTAGAACTCTGCAAAACAATTTGAACCCAAAAACAAGGACCACGGTTAATAACAATTGAATGAAGTATACCTTAGCTCCAGGTGCCCACTCCCTGTATGTAATGCCTGTAGCACTGCAAACAGATGTGTGTAGTCATTAAAGACCATATCAATCAAGTGGAAATTAAAGCATGCTCTAAATTCCTTTTTAAGCACATTTACTGTTTGGCTATCAAACTATACAGTATTAAATTACTCAAATTATAAATAAAAGCTGGAACTGTAAGTTTACATGTGGGGGGGAGAGTAAGAAAAGTTGAGAAATACTATAATATCTTTAGTGTATTTTAGAGTATTCTATATGTTCTTGGGAATTATTTTTCTTTAAAATTGTATCATTTGTTTCCTTTTTTGTTTGGGTACAGATATCATTTGTTACCTTTAACTAGGACCTTTGAAACTATTAGGTACATTATGTAAATTGAAATAGAATCTCCTATTTTCATTGCATTAAGCCTATATTTAAAATAACTTTGTCGTGTAGCCAAGACACACAGTTTTTCAATCTCCTGCCTCTGTTTTCTCTCTTTGAACATATCATATTGGTTCTCTTGCGGCCTGAAGCCTTTGAAGTTATAGGTTTTTAGATAAGAAGAGAAGAAAAAGAGGAGTAATTTTGAATTATGAATATGGTTTGGTATGATTGATGATTATGATTTGATACAAAAAGACTAAATACTAACCATCATTTATACTAATAGAAAACTTCACATCCTAATTAAACAAATCATAAGAGATAGTCTAAGGTCAGTGTTGTCATCAGACATGCAGTAGCAGAGCCCTTCAGTGTAGCAGACGTAGCAGCTGCTACGGCAGTCAAAAAAGTAGCTCTTGCAGCCGCACTAGCGCTGCACCTAATAATGAGATAAAAAATTCTTTAGATTCCCTTAAATTTTAACATTAGATCTATTTTGGCGGTTGCTTTTACAAAATCCTTGTTAGGCCCTAAGAAGAAATTATACATGAAGCAAGTTTGGTGCAATTGATTTATATGCTCCAACTTGAGGGAGAGTGTTGATATTTAAATTAAATAGTATATACAGCAAATAAAGAAATAGCATATTCTCTTATGCTCTGTCATATTCTATTGTAATTGATCTTTACACTGTATATTGATTTGTTGCTTAGTCTATATAATGAAATATATGTGGTGTTTGAAACACCCAGTTTCATCATATGTCTGTCTCACTTTTTCTCGTTCAACAGCTACGTTTAATAGACTTTGCAAAAATCATCTTACGAAGAAGTCATAAGTAACTTATGATACAGAAAATGTTAAACTGGAGTAGGGGAAGATTGGTTGACCAAAATAAATGTAACATAATACCTGCGTGTGAAGCCAAATTTTTCGTACCCACGCGAAAATGCATCAAGACCACCTTCATATTTGTCAATTTCCTCCCGAATTCTTTTGTATTGTCCATAACTGTGATTTGAGAAATAAATATATTTCAGCGAAAAACAAGCTTTTGTTTCAGTGTTGAGCACTAAAAGCACAAAATTAGTAGGGGAAACACAAAATTAACATGCCAACCAAAATATTAATCAAATAGTTGTGGAGCAGAAAATAGAATAATAAGTTTGTTTTCTGGATTTAGGATTGGTAAGGTATACATCAAAATAAATTATCATGATAGCATTGGTAAGGAATTACGATAGACAGAATTTGGTCCTATATTTTGGGTAGGCAAACAGGGCTGGAGCCCAAAAATCTCGCCTTCTTATTTGTCAGGTTACTATGGGTTGTTCCAGGTTCCCATGGCCAATTAATTACTTTAAGCCCTTGAAATGCTACTCTAGTGAGCACCATTACATAACTCACAACAATAATGGTGGACCAACAAGCTCTGTCAAATTACATAGCTCATGCAATGATAGAAAACAGTTCTTTGAAAATATGATTTAATGGAACATTACCGTTATGTTTTTTTTGGCAAAACTACACAACACAAAGGAAGCAATACACACATATATTATAGATCTTGGACAATTACATTCTGGTGTGATTCATGTGAAATCATTTGCAATTTATGAGCCACATGTAATGAACTAAAATAATCTCATTTTAGTCATACTCTTGAATTGAATATTAAAATAACAGATCTCTGCAAGAGAAATCCAAGATGGCCCAATTATAATCTTCCACGGCTAATTGAACTTCCAATCCTTTGCATTTGTTATTTCATTCAGAAAATCAAGTACTTGCTTCACTTATATTGGGATTAGCATTCGTTATTTCATTCAGAAAATCAAGTACTTGCTTCACTTATATTGGGATTAGCTTACCGGAAATCAAGATGCTGACGGTGAGCTTGCAAAAGTGGATCAATCTCATATATTTTCTGCCCAGCACCGGGTGGAGGTATGATCTTAGGTTTATCTACTTTTACTTTCTTGTCTGAATGAACCGATGTCTTCTTGGCTTGAGTGTCGGTGTTAGCATCTACAAGTGATGATGCTATAACAGAACCTTTCTCATCTCCAACCTCTTTATAACTGCTAGCTGCTTCATCAAGATTGTACTTATTCCCATCCTTCATGGTTAAATCCTCCAAGTTCTGAAAAGACAAAATATGCATTCAGCTAAGAACATCAAAAGAAAATTATGATTTCTGCAAATTACATATTCTGATATCAGTAATAAGTAACAAACATACATTGCAAACAAACTAAAAAATCAAATACATCTATAGGCATGCTACTAACCTATGGAAATACAGAGTAGAATTAAGAAAGAAGACCAAGTGTGTACTGCCTATACCCAATAGCTCAAATATTTAGATATGATAGACAACCATCAAAACAGTACTTCAGTGTTACATTTGCACTTGTTTAATAATTGCTTTAGAATACCAATGCAATATATATTTCCACTAATATACCTGAATTTCACTCCAATTACTTACTCTACTAACTGCGATTAATAAGGTTGTTTTAGTAAATGATACTATTACTGATTTTACCACTGAAATCAATTCAATAAATCATTTCCTTAAGAACTATCGCACACACTACCCAAATATAACATCCATCTGAGACGGATGGAGTAGTAACTTATTCGGAAAAGTAACATTTCTCAAATGTGACAATTAATTCACAATAGTCACAATATGTATATCATGTTGTACAACTAACTCACATGATCTTTCAAATGAAGTACAAAATGAGGAAGACAAGGAATCCACTAGCTCTACATTTAAAGAAAACTAAGAATACAATGAGGCTGCTCAGTCTCCATGCATGACTAAGATAGCAACTTACCAGAAGTAGCCATGGGTTGGACACCATAGATAATAAAACTTAATTCCAACTCAATCAATTTTGGGACAAAAGAACATTCTTACAACATGAGTAATAGAACAGTAGATAATGCTAAGAGAATGAGGGAACAAGGACAGTATATTAATGTATGAACTGAGGCAAGCCTCTACAGTAGGAAATTACAAATGTGGATGGAGAACTAGCTCCTTGCAAGAATGATAAAAAAAGGAAAATTAAATCCTCAATCTGAGAATTCCCTTGTTGAGGTGAGGAAATGCTCACTCCTCAACACCCTTTTCCACTCCAAAACTAGCCAGCCTCTCTTCGCGTGTCCCTCCCCATTTTAACCAATTTTTCCTCATTCTGGCCAATCATCATTTCATTCACACTCTCCACTCCCAGCTGGCCACATGTACAGTAAGTTACATCTACCTTTTTTCCTCCTGACCCCACTATCAGCTCTCCAAATACTCCTTTACCTCTTCCCTTTTTACCCTTCCTTGCATACACATGTTTTACTGACCTATCAATAACCATTTCAGCTCCAACAATATGCACCAAGGACTATAAAGACTAGAAAAGTCAATAACTTTGTCTCATAGGATAATGTTACTACTACTTTAAATATCTCAAAATATGTTTGAACTTGCATTGAATTAGATGAAGTCTATAGCATACAATGACCGGTAATAGTATGATTCATGATCAAATCAAGAACTAATTGTGTTTATAAGATCATATGCCATATAAAAAGAATTCAGGAGATAACAAAATTGGATGGATTGAAAAAGTTTGGAATGTCGATAAAAATGTGTCGGTCTAAGTTGAGACAACATTCTAAATAGATTTCACACATTGGAATTTTTATTAAAAATTCTTTGAATCAAAAATTAACAGTATGCATACAAATATGCAGTAATGACCAGGAAAATCATCTGTCAACCTTTTATTTGTTAATCCCGGCATCTGTACTTTATTTTTTGGGTTATGTATAGCAATAAAGACTCTTACTATATTTTTTCTCCATCCTCTAGAATCTTTAAAGATCATAGATGCATTCAACTAATAAACGCTATGCTGAAACTCAAGTATATTGCACCACTTTATCATTTAAAATGCCTCACAACACATCCTCCAAGTGAATGCCACAGTCCCTAGGCAGTGAAAGGCATGTGACAGGCAGCATGCAAAATTATTTATATAAACATATTCCACATAGAGAAAGAGAAAGCACCTGTGCATCCTCTGAGGTTATATCAGGATTTTCAAGTTGATCTGCCAAGGATAAAGAGTTATCTTGATCTTCAGGAATAAGTACTTTATCAGATTCAGCAATTGTGGAAGATTTGGTTTCAGAATCACGGGAAAACTTTGCATAAAGTGAGGTCCCTGAAAGAAGCCATAAATTGTTAGTGCCACATGCAAACTAGATTGTACTTTATGTTCATTAGGAATAGAAGATATATACCACAATCTTTGCCTATTCTATTTTCAGCATTACTGCGTTGGTGTATAAGTAATTTAAACTGATCATTGATCACATTAAATATTGACGGCCAATGATCATACTACTATTTCCTTTTCAAGATCAAACTACATAGTTAAGAATCAATCATTTAATCGATATTCTCAATAAACGATAAAAGTGTCAAGTAATACCAATCAAATACAAACTTTCCACAAAACCTTCCAACAAATATTTTAAAACATTATGTCAACTTATTCATGGTTAATACAAGTTTCCAAGCAGAAAACAGAAAAAGCATATACTGTACTAAAAGAAACTTTTAACATCATCATAATGCTTTCCATGCATTGCAAAAAAAAATAAAAAATAATCAGTTTTTCTCGGTGAATCCAAGAGAACAATTGTAGCGTAATAGTTAATAACACTGTGCTTCCGAATGCACAAAAACATAACTAAGCCAAATTAGTTAAGCTCAAAAGATCCTGAAATCCAACAAATCACCAGAATCTGATGCCTCAGTTTTGCTCAAGTTACAACCGCTTCTAAAATGGAGTCAAAACCAGTCCTACCTAGTCAATTCAACAGTAATAGCAGAAACGCGTGCTTCAGATTCGCTCAAATTGCCAACCACTACTAAAATGGAGTTAAAACGAGTCCTACCTAGTCAATTCAACAGTAATAACAGAAACAAGTGCTTCAGATTCAGATTCGCTCAAATTACCCACAGCTACTAAAATGGAGTCAAAACCAGTCCTACCTAGTCAATTCAACAGGACTAACAGATTCGTTAAGTTACCAATGCATGCTAAAACGGAATCAAAACCAGTTCTACCTACGAAATTGAACAGTATCCACAGAATTCCATGATTCAGCTTCGCGAAAGTTAGCATTCGCGAAAAACAGAAATCAAAACGAATTCAAACAAGTTTCCACCGATGCATAACGATCAAAAAACAAAACAAAACAAAAAATAAGCATTAATCAAACAAGTATGCAAAAATAGCAAGCAAGTCGAACTCGCAAACCGTATCGGAATCGAAAAACGAGATAGGTTCATTACGAGAGAATGACGAGTTCTTCTTGAGAAGAAAAGAGTGAGATGAAGTTCTGTGATTGCAGCGGAAGGTCGACTTGTGCAGAGAAGGAACAACGGGAAACCGAATTCCTGAGATTGTATAAACCATCTTCTTCTATCAGCTTAGGGTTTATATTGCGAAGAAGAAGAGATCTAGAGTTTCTAAAAAATTGCGTAGAAAGAGGCAAGAGAAGTGTGATGACATACAGTGGCGGTTGTAAGAGTAAAAAATGATTCTCATTAATTTCTTGAAAGAATAAAAAGATTTAATAATTGAATAAAATGGTATAATGATGAAGAAGAAAATTGTTTGATTACTATAGATAGGGATGTAATGTACGGTGAAGAATGGCGTTATCTGGGTGGAGGGACAATGAAAACTGAGAAGTGATGTTGCTACGTGTGAGCACAGTTGAGAACTGAGTTTTAGCATGGTGATTGGGGTTGTGGGGCCCACTGGTTCTGTTTTTTAATTGTGATCGTCCATTTCATTGTTTTCTCATACAAACAATAAGGCACCGAAGAGAGGATATGAAATGACTGGCTATTGGTGTTAGTTTTCGTTATTTGGTTCTTTGTACGTGTACTGTGAAGGGAGTGTTGAGTTAACATGTACTAGTTGTTGGAAAGCACCGGGGAAAGGTAAAAAGGATCTTTTGAGTTGTGATTGTAAATGTGTAGTATATCCCTTTTGTGTTCTATTCTACCTACCCATTGTTGAAATTCTTGTGAGTGTTAACTTTATATTAGGAAAAGAAAATAACAAAAATAAAATTTGTTTGATAAAATAACACTGATTAAAAACCAGAATGTTATTATGTAAGTTTCAGAGTTAGTAAACATTCAGTGGCTTATATAAAGATTCCCATGTATGCTTGACAGGGAATATTCTAAAATACCATGCATGGTCCATGGGTGGAACCACTACAGGTATTTCAAGAGATCTATATATTTAATTGAAGTAGAATGTGGAAGCGATGTTTCTAAAGGTATATTTAATTGTTTGATTTGTATCCAAAAATAAAATTCATGGGAGGATCCATTGGTCCCAATATAATAAATGGAATGACTATTAGTTCAACTGACCATGCATTTTAAAAAAAACCAATGGGATTGTATTAAGGAGAGGAGTGTTAAGAAAACTATTTTTAAATACTCACTTCAACAGTTACTTTTTTTATTGGAAAAGAAAATATAATTTCTTATTTTAAAAATGAATTTCACATAAATATTATGATCTGCATATATTCTAACCAAAATACAAAAGTTAGTGTTAAAGAATACCTTAAGAAAATATTTCCGGTTTAAATTAGGATGTTTATAGTTCATGAACATCATTAAATCGAACCACATTTATGATTTGATTCAGTTTATAATAATCATTTTAATAAAAATACAATAATCATTTTAATAGAAAATTCAACAAACTGCAAAAAAATGGTTACAATTCAATTTAAAACTAATTTATATTTATAAACTAATTTTTATAATCAATTTACAATTTTAAATCAATTATATATTTTGAATTATTTTAAAACAAAATTTTAAAAAAAAAATAAATTTTTTTATATTAAAAAATATTCTTCAAAATATTTATTTTTTAAAAAATTAAATATTTTTTAAATTTATTTTGAGAAAAAATGTTTTCTCGTTTTTTCAAAAAAACTTGATTTTTTCATATTTTTGAAAAAAATCGTTTTTCACATTATTTTTTAAAAAATCAAATTTTTTTTCGTATTTTCAAAAAAAAATCAGATTTCTAAAAAATCAGATTTTCCGTATTTTCGAAAAAACTCGACTTTTTCATATTTCTCAAAAAACTCAAATTTTCATATTTTTGAAAAAACTCGACTTTTTCATATTTTTGAAAAAACTAGACTTTTTCATATTTCTGAAAAAACTCGACTTTTTCAAATTTCCAAAAAAAACTCGACTTTTTTGTATTTATGATAAAACTCGAATTTTTCGTATTTCTGAAAAAACTGGACTTTTTCATATTTCTGGAAGAAAAAACTTGATTTTTTCATATTTCCGAAAAAAAAAACTCAATTTTTCATATTTTTTGAAAAAACTCGATTTTTTCATATTTTCGAAAAACTCAACTTTTTCATATTTTCGAAAAAAAATTCGACTTTTTCATATTTTCGGAAAAACACAATTTTTTAATATTTCTGAAAAAACTCGACTTTTTCATATTTCTGAAAAAAAAACTCGATTTTTCATATTTATGAACAAACTCGACTTTTTCATATTTCCAAAAAAAATCAATTTTTTCATATTTCTGAAAAAACTCGACTTTTTCATATTTTTGAAAAAACTCAACTTTTTCATATTTTTGGAAAAACTCGAATTTTTCATATTTCTAAAAAAAACTCGACTTTTTCATATTTATGAAAAAATCGACTTTTTTCATATTCTGAAATAACTCTACTTTTTCATATTTCCGATACAACTCGACTTTTTATATTTTCGAAAAAAACTTGAGTGTTTATATTTTTGAAAAACGACTTTTTCATATTTTTGAAAAAACTCTATTTTTCATATTTCTGAAAAAAAAACTCGACTTTTTCATACTTTCAAAAAAATAACTTTTTCATATTTATGAAAAAACTCGACTTTTTCATATTTTTGAAAAAACTCGACTTTTTCATATTTTTGAAAAAACTCGACTTTTTCATATTTCCGAAAAAACTACTTTTTTATATTTTTGAAAAAACTCGACTTTTTCATATTTTTGAAAAACTCAATTTTTTTCATATTTCTGAAAAAACTCGACCTTTTCATGTTTTCGGAAAAATTCGACTTTTTCATATTTTTTAAAAAACTCGATTTTTTGTATTTTTGAAAAAAATAGATTTTTTTTCGTATTTTTGAAAAAAAAAATCCATTTATTGTATTTTCGAAAAAAAAATCGATATTAGTTTTTTTTTTGGAAAAAAATTATTTTCAAGAAATGAAAAAATATATTTTCTAGAATTTCTTTTTTAATTTTCGAAAAAAATTATTATTTTTTCCATAAATTTTCTTTACTCTCAATTAATTTTTTATTCTTTTTATTAAAAATTAATTAATTAACATAATTAAAACAGTTTATAAAAGAAAATTGGTTTAGAACCGGTTTTAAATTAAATTTGAGTTGTTTTAATTAAATGGTTCAGTTCATTAACCATTTAAATGATTCAGTTTTTTTATAGTGCAATGCAGTTCAGTTCAAGTATACAATTCAGTTAACCATATTTTTGAACACCCGTAATTTAAATGTCATTCTAAAGTGGTATTTCGTATTAATTTTTGAACACCCCTATTTAACCATTTTAAATGACTATATTTTAGTTATAAATAAATAAATTGCTTATTTAATTTTAGGTAGTTTTAAGATTTAATTGATGCATACAAAACTAAATGATTGTCTTCCAAACTATTGGAGCTAAATTACTTAGGGCCCTAGTAAGAGATAGCTTAAATAAAAGCAAGACTAATAAGGGGTGAGAGGCGAGATGCCCAGCGAAGTCATCGACTGTTTGAATGAGACTATGAAGTCACTCGATATGGGGCTATGAGGCCGTTTGGAGCGGGTTCTCACTGTCCACTCGCCTAGCAAACATGGGTGACGACGTGGATCTCCAATGATTATCGAGGGGTAAGTCAAAGGGAAAAACATTATTCCCCCAATTTAAGAAGACCAAGTTTTCCTTTTTTCTTTAATCCTAGTTTTCTCTTTTTCTTCATCCATTAAAGAGAGACGGTTTTAGGATCAATTTTTTTATCCAAAATCACTCCTCTAAATTCTTATTTCTTTCCTTGTCATTCAAATAAGTGATTTCACATATATTTTAGGTTTTCTCTTCGTGATTTCATCGTCTTAGTGCGACGTTGTGTTGGTCGTTGTCTTATTGCAGCATTACTTTGTTTTTTTGTCTTGGTGTTGTGTTTATTCGATTCAGATTGACAAATTAGTTTCAACTCAGTGCATATTTAATCAATAAATTTGATGTCGTCAACACTGCAGACTCAAACATGGGTATTCCGAGCATTTCAATTTCGTCGTATTTATAGCGATTTTGAATTTGTACTATTCGATGTATTTTATTAATTTGAATGAATGAATTTCGTTTTTAGTCACATAAAAAAAAGGAGACCAAGTCTTCCCATGACCACATTCTTTAGTCATGAAGTTAGGGTAAACCACTAATTGGATCTCTAACCCAAGCCCAAGAGGCGTATATGAATACCTATCCCCTACCAAGAGGAATGAAGATCCTCAAGTCATACACACTTAATATTACTCAAAGAGCTCTGTGCTCCTAGTACCCTCAACATCGTAAAGTTAACCACCTGTCTGCAACCTAGTAACGCCGACCACCAACAGGGCCTCTCACCTCGCGTGAGAAGGTGTTTACACTGAAAATTGGTAAACAACCGTTAGTCTCTTATTAAAGATTACTTGCAGGATCAACTAGAGAATCCTTGGACATAGTGCTAAAGATTTTCCTTTATAGTTTTGATAGAAATGAAAGACATTTCAACTTGGTCGAAATGATTATGAAAAAGGTAAAAAAAAAAAAAAATGTAACTGCGACAGTAGAAAAAAAGTAAGAATGTGGCAAAGACAAAGGTAAAGTGACAATGCAGTTAAAGTAAAGATGAAAGTAACTTGGCAAAAATTGTAAATTAAAATGAAAAGATTTGCATTGAAGTAAAAATGGTGTTTCAAGATTTATACATTCTCTCATTAAACTCTCTTCTCTAGTACTGGTACTTTGAGTATGAGTGAGATTTTATAATGAAATGAACACCCTAAATCCTACAAATGGAATCCCTATTTATACTAATATGAAATAACTGCTCCCTAACGTTTATATTTTCACTTTCGCCACGTAGAAGTCTGCATGCACTTTGCTTTTGCATTCTCTCCACGTGTCTTTCAGGATGAAACTAAGAAGTAGTTACTTGTTTTTGAACAAAACATTTGCGCGCCCAAATAACTACCAGTCTGACGCGCTTGATGTTGACGAAAATGTTATTTTCGAAATGTCTGCAAAAACATTCCTAAAGAATACTAAGTCCCATTTTCCTTCTCTTAAGACTTCAATAATGTAAACGTCATTA